CTGATGATGTGATCGGCCAAAGCAAGGGTGGCTCGTACGCATCGGACGCTTACGCAGAATGGAAGGGAGGAAGACGCATATAACAGTTTTTAATCCTATCGCTATGGTAATGTTCGTTAACTCACCCAAGTTGAAGTCGGTTAGTATGATCACATGTTCATACTACTGGCTCCTGCACTACCAAAATGTCAAGATAACACTCTCCAATAACCGGTGAGACTGTCCTACTGGATCAAAGGGGAAACACGCAGTGCACACCTAGTCATCACCATTTGACAGAAGAAACAGGCGTGCCCATGTCTACAGCTGCATGTATGGTGAAACAACTTTGGTGGGAAGTGGCATCCCTCGAAGGGCGCCAGGGAATTGTTAAAATGTAGAAACCAAAATACAGGGATAAAGATGCAGAAGAAGGCTTTTTTTCAGTCGTACTCCATTGTAGATCCGGATAATTGGGCCAGCAGCCACGCGATTCGAAACGGTTTGGCCTACTGGGGGATTATTAAACGGAGTCCACTAGGCCTTAGAGGTCCCGTAAATCCATGGTCTACCTGCCGTGTTTCTCGAAACAACGAACTAAGAAAATCCCTCTAAGACTCCACATATACGCCTTTTGTATGATATGCAATTAAAAGTGAATGTAAACAGCTCAATGGAACAACAAAAGAGTGGCTTTCCCACATGAACTTCCTTATCATGTTCTCATCTTCTCCCATGACAAAGCGGGGAAACACAGCTTACGGAAGTTTCGCAAAATCCCCCTAAAGCATGGCTAGACTAACAGAATAAGGATTACGTTATTTGAACAACTAACTGAAACGTCTTATGGACCTCTGATAAGCCATTGTAAGTCTGGATGTAAAGTCCAGTTGCGGATTTTGGCACCAAACATGGCATGCACGCACAGACAAGACACTTGATCAAAGTCTACGCGCATTTGTTTGGATATGTTCTAAGTTTCTGTGACACTCGAGAAGTCGGTGAATTGTTCTGCATGGCCAGGGGCGGACAAAGTACGCGTGAATGTAACGCTAAGTTAAAAAACCGTAAGCGAATTCACGATGAAATATCAGATGTGCATCTGGCCAGACGCGGTGCGGGCCAGCAGCACCAAATTGTGGCACCTTCATGGCAGCTGACCCTTCAAATTTTCTCGGTAGATTGCATCCGACACGCTTGAAAATTAGAAGAAGACCGATTTGCGAGCATACGCGTGCTTTCGACAAATTCTCATCGGGCCAGTACATTTATATGGGAACGGGGTACAAGGTAAAACGTGTGAGCGATAAGAGGGATCGATTACGGTTCGTCTTTTTATACAAGCGGGGTGCGTGAATAGGGGTGGGGGGAGGGGAGGAGGTAGTAAGTGGAGTGAGGGTTAGGTAGAGCCGTGTTACAGGGGGAGGGAAGGGGAAAAGGGGACACGGAGACATGCATGCATTTGACCGAGCCTTGGCCACGGTAGACGCGGAGCGTGTAAGAGGTTCTTCTGCGCACGCAGGACCGGTCTCCGTAGCCTGATGGCA